GTGAGCTTTTCTGGGTAGAAAGCTCACCGGAAGCACGTTTTCATCAAAAAAAGATGGCGGCGCCCAGCAAGCCAGCGGCCCGGTAGGACTTGTTCCGCGGACCGGTACCGGTCCGCGGACCGGTGGTTGGGGACCCCTGATATACAGTATATAGGCAGTCCTCATTCGGTTTCATTGTAAGTTTGAACAGCCGCTTGAATGAGTGCTCATTAAGACCACTTGTTCAGCCTACTTTAAGCTTACAATGGCACCGAATGAAGAGACTTACAACCGGTCCTCAAAATTGCTACCATTGCAGAGGCCTTGTAGTCACATGATTGTGATTTGGGCACTTGGCAACTATTGTGCAATTTAGACAGTCGCTATGTCCCACAGTCACTTGATTGCCAGATTGTGACCTTCGCTGTCATCCTCTAATCAACAGAGTCAGTAGGGAAGTCTGCAAAAGGATACAAGTTGTGATTGTGTCCTGTCTCACTTAATGACAGCAACTAGAAGTACAGTTATAAGTCAGCACGGTCATGTGAGTTCCACTCTGCTGCCAGATTGCTCAGCAACATAATTGCCAGTCCCAATTGCCTTCATTAAATGAGGACTATAGGTAGTCCTTGATAACCATTATTGAACCTAAATTTTCTGTTGCTAAGCACAGCAATTGTTAAGTGAGTTTTGCCCCATTTTGTGACCTTTTTTTGGTACAGATGTCAAGCAAATCACCACAGTTGTTAAGTGAATCATGTGGCCGTTAACCTAATCTGGCTTCCCCCATGGACTTTCCTTGTTGGAAGCCAGCTGGGAAGATCACAAAAGGTGGCCACATGACCCCGGGACAGTGCAATTGTCATAAATACATGCCAGTTGCCAAGCAACTGAAGTTTGATCACATGACCGTGGGAATGCTGCATCAGTCGTACATGTGAAAACTGGTCAGAAGCGGCCCCCCCCCCTTTTAAAACTTTGAACAGTCACTAAATGAATGGTTGTAAGTCGAGGACTACCTGTACCTGTAAAACAAAAAAATAGATAGAATTAGTTACCTCCGGTGTATTAATGCCAAAATCAAAGATAGCATCTAGTACTGATTTATCTGTCTATAAAACAAACACCGTTTCTTAATTATGGTCTTTCCAGACACTGCAGATGGAGTATCGCAAGAACTCATCTCGGCTGGACTTGTGGATGGCAGAGATTTAGTCATAGGTAATGTAAGCTTTACTGGGGAAAAAAATCACTTAATTTTCATCCCTGTGCTAGTTTTGTTGCTTTATTTTGCTTGCATACACAGCAGAACAAGCTGACCTTCCTCTTGCTTGTATATTCTTGGCTGGTGCTGGAGGGAAATTTGTTCATAAAGCTTAGATGCCCATCACTGAGTGTGTGTCCCCTCTATTGTTTCAGTTGCTGCAAACTTGCAAAAAATTGTTGAAGAGCCTCAGACGAACCGATCGGTCACCTTCAAGCTGGTATTTATATTTTTTTCCGCTTACTACTCAAATCTTTCTAAAAAGTTGCTTCCGCTGTCAGCCTCCTTTTGGGCAAATGCTGTGTTTATTCAGCTCAACAAAAAAAATGTTTGCTCTCTGCATATATTAAAGCACTGGATTAAAGCTGGTTTATTTCCAGACATCGAATGTGCTTGGATTTAGTTGAATGCCAGACATGTTTTTATATCTTTTTGTTCAGCTGGTTTTTGTTTCTAGCTTTGTAAATGTAGATCGGCTTTCCTTTATTGGGTGCATTTTAGATTTGTGGACTTCATGCCCTAGGATATTTCAACCACCATTGTCACTGCTGGGGATTCAGTTTGCTGAAGTCCATAGATCTGGAAAATGCCCCAAATGGAGAAGACAGTATAACGAAATAACAGAGCTGGAAAGGTTGTTGGAGGTCTTCTATCCCCCGCACAAACAGGAGACCCTGCACGGTTATGGACAAATGGCTGACCAATGTCATCTTGAAAACTTCCAGTGATGGAATATCCACAACTTGGAAGCAAGCCATTCCACTGATTAATTATTCTCACTGTCTGGAAGTTTCTCCTTAGTTCTGGGTTGCTTCTCTCTTTAATTGGTTTCTTTTCATTGCTTCTTGTACTATCTTCAGATGTTTTGGAGATTAAGTGACTTCCTTTTCTTTATCTTCACATTTTGGAACTCTGCTCTCATGTCTCCCCTAGTTCCTCTTTTCATTAAGTTTGCAAGCATACCCAGTTCCTGCAACCGTTCTTCATATGTTTTGGCCTTCAGTCCCATAATCATCTTTGTTACTCTTGTCTGTACTATTTTTAGAGTCTCAACATCTTTTTTACATCATGGTGACCAAAACTAGATGCAATATTCCAAGTGTGCTCTTACCAAGGCATTATCAATTGGTACTAACAGTTCACGTGATCTTAATTCTATTCCTCTGTTAATGCAGCCTATGACTGTGTTGGCTTTTTTGGCAGCTGCAGTACACTGCTGGCTCATATATAAGTGATTGTCCACTTAAGACCTCTGTAGATCTTTCAAAAAACCAGAGTTAACAAATATTAGCCCCTCTAATAATGCAGTGCTAAGTCTTTTCTACCTAACCACCACTGACAGACTAAAGGAAATTGCTGGCTGGTTTTGACCCTTCTCTGCGCCAGTTCAGTCCTGAACTTCAGTTGACTAGATCAGCGGCCACGGCTCACTGGTGGTCCGTGAGAAAATTTTGGTGGTCCACAGAGAAATCTCACCCCCAGAGCACCCCCCTCCCCAAAGCAATTAATCCAGGCTGCGCAGAAACACAAGGCTGCTCAGCCCACATGGCCCACGGGAACCTTCCCCGCCCACTCACTCCTTACCCGGCAAACTTGTCTGCTAAGTTGCTATTTTCCCTTTTTTTTCCCGACCATCAACTGTTCTGCTGTGCCGGGAGGCTTAAATTAGCTAGGAAGCAGGAAATGGTTGGATTTCTTGCTTTCTAGCTGAGCACAGCCGAACCTCCCTTAGGACTGAAGGTTGGCTTGCAAGCAGATTCAGTGTAGACTCATGGCAAGCAAATTTGAGAGACTGAGTTAGCCAATGATAGATAGATAGATCACTGAATGATTCTGTGAGCAACTGAATCTGCCTGCTTTGCCTGATTTTGGATAAAAGTTGCTCTTTTTAATAAAAAATTCAATATTTACATACATGGTGTGTTGTGAGTTAATTTTGTGAGTTTGCTTGCAAGCAAATGTTATGTGACAGACTGAGCTAGCCAATGGCAGATAGATAGATTTCTGAATGAATCTATGATTCTGTGAGCAACTCAATCTGCCTGCCTGCTTTGCCTGATTTTGGGTAAAAGTTGCTCTTTTTTATAAAAAATTCAATATTTATATAAATATTTATAATATTTACATACAAGCCATGCCCAGCCAGTCACATGACCACCAAGGTACACCCACAAATTAGGCCACGCCCACAGAACCAATTAGTGGTCCCTGGGATCTAAAATTATGAGTTTGGTGGTCCCTGAGGTCCAAAAGGTTGGCGACCCCTGGTATAGGTAGCCCTCACTTAACGCCCACACTTGGGACCAGAAGCTTGATCACTAAGTGATGATGTCATTAAGTGCAATGTCATGTGACTGTGCTACTTAATGATGACAGTTTCGACAACCCTAGTTGTCATTAAGTGAGGGTCTCATGTGACCATGACTTGGGGCTTCCCCATTGATTTTGCTTGTTGAAAGCTGGCAGGAAAGGTCACAAATTTCAGTCATGTGAGCCCCATGGTCATGTCCAGGCACTCAGCAACCACTAGGCTGCCATAACTACAAGGCTACAACTATGAGACATCCTGGAAGGATGGGCGTGTGGTGAATGAAAAAGGAATGAGGATTGGTCAGAAGCATTTGAACTGGGTTTGATTGGGAAAGACTTAATACACTAAAGCAGCCATGCAAAATCCACAGCAAACAAAAATCGACATCCTCATTTAAGAACTTACTGGTCAACAATGATTTTTGTTTTAAGTCATCCATTGTAGGAGAAGAGTAAGCAGAGATGAAGGTAGAGTTCAGCACATCATCAGCTTAGAATTGTTATTGTAAGAGGATGACCGGGCTGAACCCGAGGGAGGAGTCAAACATGTCATCAGTCTCAAGTCTCTTTGTGCCCGTAAGAGGTCTAAGTCCAGCCCACCTTGAATTCTGTTTACTCTTATCTACCGCCAATTTACTTTTACTGTTGGTAGTTCAATTTCTTGTAGACAGCATTAAGCATACAATAAACCTGTATTCGTTTGAAATGTCTGGACTTCCTGATTTTCGTGTGCTTGGCAGTTACATCACCACAAATGCAATCCTTTTTGAAATTTGTTGACCTTAGCTGTCACCTATTTAATACTTAACTTTAGCTGACTAGATTCTTGCGTGTTAAATCCTTGAACTTCAGTTTACCATATGGTCATGATCCTTTGCATCTAACTATAATTTAGTCCTTGGTGCTTTCTGAACTTGTTTTCTTGCAGGTATGATTTCTGGCAGCATCCCTTGTACTATGCCAGTGGTAACATCACTGGCACTGATGGTGTTATTTAATTTGGGTAATGAAACATCTGCAAGAAAATAGCCAAGCTCAGCAAGCACACAAGGACCCCTTATTTCAACCCTGAGTTGTAAATATTCTCCTTTATTAATCTAGTCAAATAATTCAAGATTAATGTCAAGCACAAAGGATCGGGACCATACATTCAGTTGCAGTTCAGAAAGAATTTATTGGCCAAGCTTATATACAAGAATCTAGTCCAGGGGTTGCCAACCTTTTGGACCTCAGGGACCACCAAACTCATAATTTTAAATCCCGGGGACCACTAATATGAATTTTCACTGACGGTGGCTTGCTGACATTGGTGCGGGGGAGAGAGAGAGAGAGAGAGAGATCTGATCTAACCTCTCTTTCCCTCCCCCCCCCCTCTCTCTCTCTCGCACACACACACACACACACAAATACACAGAGGCGGGTGGGATTCAAATTTCTTAACAATTGGTTCTGTGGGTGTGGCCTAATTTGTGGGTGTGGCTTGGTGGTCATGTGACTGGCTGGGCATGGCTTGTGTGTAAATATTATAAATATGTATATAAATATCAGCAAATAGCAAAGCAGGCAGGCAGATTGAGTTGCTCACAGAATCACAGATTCATTCAGAGATTAATTGCTTTGGGGGGTGCTCTGGGGGTGAAATTTCTCTGTGGGGCACCAAAATTTTCTCATGGACCACCAGTGAGCCGTGGCTCACTGGTTGGTGACCGCTGATCTAGTCAACTGAAGTTCATGACTGAACTGGGGCAGAGAAGGGTCAGTTAAATTCTAGTTGGACTTAGACCGTATGTGGCAACATAACAATTCTAAGCTGATGACCTACTTAGCTCCCCCCACCAGCTCTGCCTGCTCTTCTCCTAGATTCATTATTTAGGGTGAAAGAGTATATTTGAGCTGCTTGGGAATATGTTCTGAAGACTAGAAAATATTAGTGATAAGGCTGAGGGGAGTGGGAACATACTTCCACCTAAAAAAAATAATCAGAATTTCACCAGGATCTGTGAAGCAAAGACTTGCAAAGGAAGTAGTTTCCTGACTCACAAGACAGTTTATTCTTTTAAAGGTTTCTCAGAATATCCACTTTAATGGAGGCAAATCTCACAGCCCGAGTGTAATTTTTCACTTACTACAAAACTTGGGGATTCTTTAATTTGTAGTTCCGTTATCCCACTCTGTCAGCCCTGTCAGGATTGCAAAGTCATGTGAATCTGTACTATTTTTATCTTAAAGCGATACAGGTAGTTCTGGATTTACAACAGTTTGTTTAGTGACAGTTTGAAGTTACAGTGGTATTTTTAAAAAGTGACTTTTTCACACTTAACAATCATTGCGGCATCCCCATGGTCATGTGATCAAAATTTGGACCCTTGGCAACTGACATGTATCTATGACGGTTGCAGGGTCCTGAGGTCATGTGATGCCCTTTTGAGACCTTCTGATAACCAAAGTCAATGGGGAAACCAGGTTCGCTTAACAATTGTGTTACTAACTTAATTACTAGTATGATTCACTTAACAACTAGGACAAGAAAGGTTGACTTAACGACTGTCTCACTTAGCAACATAAATTTTGGGCTCAAATTGTAGTCATAAGTTGAGCAATACCTGTAGTTATGCAGTCTTGCAAACCTGAATGTGTGTCATCCCTCCCTTTTTTTATCTTCATGAAAACTAGGCAAGATCTTGTCAGAGAGGTTTTCTTAGTTTACATTCCTGATCTGGATTCATTTTCTCTTTTTTACCTGATTATCATGATTGTAGCTTTGCCTCCTTTCCCTCAAGGCCTTTCTCTCTGTCCTTTAGATGTCCTGGTAAAATAATGGATTTTGTCTCCTTGCCTTTCAGGCATCAGGCGTGGAAGCATCTGAAATCCCCGATGATGGCAAACTTATTGGATTTGCTCAGCTCAGCATCAACTAAAACAACACTCCCCACTTATGGTCACAACCCATAGGTGCAACATACGAACACTTCTGTTGGCCAAAAAAGCAAAACCACTCCTGCCAAAGAATCAAAACGACAGGCCCTCGTTCTTAGAAGCTTTAACTTCATTTGTTCCCAAGTAGCATCAAGGAGATCTACAACACTACTTGCCTTGGAGGCATTTGGCTTCTGTTCCACCCACCTGCTGTTTTTGCGTTTCCTGCCTCTCAATTTTACCACTCTCCCTCCCTCCCTCCTTTCCAACCCTCCCTCCCATCCTCCCTCCTTTTCCTCCCCCCTCCCCTTTCTCCCTCCCTTCCTCCCTTCTCTCCTTCCCTTCTCCCCTCTTTTTCTCCTCTCCTTTCTTTTTTCCTCCCTCTCTTCCTTCTCTCCTTCCCTTCCTCCCTATCTTGCTCCTCTCCTTTCTTTTTTCCTCCCTCCCTCCCTTCTTTCTCTCCTTCCCTTCCCTTCCTCCCTCTCTTGCTCCTTCCTTCCTTCCTTTTTTCCTCCCTCCCTTCCCCTGCATGCTTATACTTATTATTGCCTTAACTCAGCCTTCCCCAAATGAGTGCCCACCAATTAGGCTGTGCCTACAACTCTTGGTTTTATAACCAAGAGGGCTGGGAATTCCAGGGGTTGTTGGGATATATACCAGAGGACATCTGGTTGGGAATGTCTGCCTTAACTATTTAAAAACTAAACAAAAATAGAAACATTACTACTGAGTACGAAAGAAGGGTTTTGCTGCTCTTAATAATTGTCCTGAGGTGATGGGTTGGATCATTTTTGCCTGGCTGGTAAATAGCAAAGACATTTTGATTTGTGGTCCATCTAACTGGACAGGTATCTTTTTTAAAAAATGAAGCTGTTGTGGAGTGTCAGAATACAGGTTGAATTTACTATGGAAAACTGAGTGAAGTCTTAAATAAGTGGGACCCCTTGGTTTAAGCAACCTTTTCTATATTCAGGGCACAGAAGGAATTGCTTGGCCTGAGATAAAACTAGCCTTAATTGTTCTCTTTCTAGTTGCAAACACGTTATCGGTGAAGAAACATCATGTTTCTGTGTAGCTGTGTTTCCTCCATCCTCAATTGGCTGTCTCACTGGGCCTTCTTCCCACTCACCCTATGCTTGTAGACTTCCCATATAGAGACAATGGTTGAAACATCAGGTGCCAAAATTATTTTGTGCATCATAATCTTAGCAGCTTTGACAATTGCAGGATGGATAGACGGGAACAATTCTGGTGCAAGATGCAGAAACCATATGTAGTAACTGGCCACCCATCAGGCCAAAGAGAGGATTTTGCAGCATACAAACTAGAAGATGTCCCATTCCAAATACCCGTATTGTGTACATTTCATCATCCCTCTCTTATTTCATTCTGGAAGTTGCTTATGCTGAATTGCTTATCTGGATAAAAAGGGAGAATGGCACAGCCAGCACAAATATTCCTGAACACGGAACTTAAAAAAAATATATCAATCTTTCAGTTTTATCATTTGGCTATTGGGCTACCACTCTTCCGCAAATGTTCCTCAAAAATCCCTTGGTGGAAAACAATTTTCTCTTGTTTTCCACCAAGGAAAATCTACCCATAATCCTGAAGTAATTTCCGGCTTCCTTAAAATTGTTGCAATCTGATGATGAATCCTCAGAAAATCTGAGGTTCTGATATTTCCCCAAAAGGTTCTGCAGAAGATTTAGGGTGCAGCCTACCTTACACCGACATCTTGCAGAAGTATCTCTCTCAGTCTACATATTTTTCTCGTCCTTGCGGTTGTCTCTGCAACTGGTTTTTGGTGAAGAGATTCCTGTGTAAGTAGACTATTGAGATTGTCTCGCAAGTTGCTAGGAGTAGTTAAGTCCACCAGGTGTGGTTCAATGTGTGACCATTCATAAAACCAGATGTCCTTTGCATGTGGTCAGAGTGGAAATTGATCATATGGACTGGCCATTAGAAGGTCTGTAAAGATGAGTCTTTCTATCACTGACCACTGCAGGTGGTTTCCTAATTCCCATTTTAATCTCCAAAAAACCTCCATCCTTTTCATTAAAAATCCTTATACCTTTCTTACGTCCTTCATGGACTGGTACATATGAAACTGCCCCCATTCAGTTTTTACAGCAATAAATGAAATTGCCAGTTAAAGACAAACCTGGTCAATCAATGCTTGGAGCAATTTAGTCTCCTTGCTGTACTGCTTGGAATCTGTGTTGTTTTTTTTAATAATACTCTGTTCACATATCAAAAGTTTGGTCAACATAGGGTAACTGAAGCCACTATAGCTCATATTTAGTGTTTGTTTTTTAAGACATTATTAGTATCTGGGGTTTGTTTTTTTCTTTCCGTTGTTTTGGATTTTTAACCTATAAATTATATATTTAGTTTGGGGAAAAAGAAACATTTATAATGCACTATGTGAACAATAAAATGGTGTGGATTTTTCTTGCCCTCCTAGAACAGCCTCTTGCCCCCTCCAGCTTTTGTGTATCACTGCTTAGCTTTGAAGTATTTTATACATCCACATTGTTTTCACCTTAATATTAATTTGCATAGCAAACCAATGGAATTAAGTCTCATCCCTGGATGTAGAGTAGGTAGAGTATGGGCCCCAGTGAAGTGATTATGTACTGTTTTATATAACCCCTCCTCCTCCTCTTCCTCCTCCTCTTGTTTCAACTACCATGGTTGAACCACCATGACACTTAAGCTTCTAAACCTGGTTTCTAGCTCAGGTTAAGGACAGTAATAAACGACCTCACAACATGTTGTGGAAGACTGGGAGGGGAGCTATTATGCCCCTTGGTGTCCACGTTGAATCTCTGAGAGGGGTGAAGTTAGCGCCTCACACTTGCTCTCTCAGGGCAAGTGGAAAACATGAAGATTGGGAATCTCAAATCTTCTGACGCAATAAATACCCTCCCCAAGCAGCAACGAAAGCTCGATTTTCTTTATTGCTTAATGTATTTATTGTTCACCTCTTAATTTTTGTGTTGGCTAGATCTGCTCATTAACAGAACTGCTCCAGATGTGGACATCTATTGAAGAAACGATTTGAAAATGAGAAATGTTTAGACACCAGTCATGGGGTGGGAAGGGGCGGAGGTTGAAAAAAAAAAGTATTGGTTGGGCTGTGCTTGTGTGTGTGTGTCTGTCTGTCTGTCTGTCTGTCTGTCTGTCTTATGTGCAACCTCCCAAAACTTCCAAATTGTTCCACCCTTGGCGCTTGGTGGCTTATGAGCAAGCTACGGTATATGTTTGAATGAACCCTGGAGGTTATTTTCTTGATTTGAAACCCTTCAGGAGGGGCAGAAGTCAACCATTCTTGGTCAACTGTTTGGGATAGACCTCACCTGGACGAGAGGAGCAGCTCTCGGAGGCTCCATGAGACAATGGTCTCCCCAAACTTCTGCTTCTGGTTGGCCAGAAGTTCTTTGGAGCCAGTGATGTTATTGTCACTACAGTGCACAGCCCTAGTCCTAATATCCATGCCCAGGTATGATCATGTGGAAAGGGGATCTCTTGCTGAAATGGGGTGTGTGTGTGTATGGCCCTGAATTGGAGTACCGCCCGAGATGGCAGATGAGCAGCATGAGGGAAAAAAATAGCCATTTTGTTTCATCCCATCTTCAGCTACAGAAACCAAATCATTATGGTACAGTATTAAATAATTTGGCCTGCATGCTGCGCGTAACTTTGAATCCACTGTATCTTGATGCAGTATCTATTTATTTATTCATTCCTTCTTTACTTTCTCTGTCTAATCCAGGTCTAGCAGACAAGAATATCCCTAATGACTGTTCCCGTGTATTATTATATTAATGATTATTTTAATGATCCAGAACTGCTTTGCTACTAGATTTCTAGGCCTGTTATCTCTTAATAATTAATAGTATTTTCTTTCTTTTTCCTTTTTCCTCCCTTTTTGGATACTAGAAATGCTAGGCAACTATTTTATTCTTGAGGTTCAAAAGTGCCAATGATCTTTGTTGTTGTTGTTTGGTAGTTTAGAAATTATTTCTAACTTTAGCAACCCTCATGGATCAGAGGGTTTTTATTTTGGGTAAATTCTGAACTTGAACCTAGAAATCGGTTTGTATTTTTTTAAACTTAATTAACAGCCTTGAGGAGGGTGATGTATTAATATAAAAGGAACCTCTACACAATTTGGTGTACTGTAGATTTTAACGAAAGATGTAAAATATTCAGCCTTTTTTCCCCTTTGATTTTGTATTTTATTGCATGTCATTTCTCTAATTTTTAATCAATAAAAAGACTTGTCCATTATTTTTGGGAGTTGGTTTGTGTTTAATATTCTGTTTTTCTGCAAATATCTCAAGTAATTTACCACATAGAATCCTCTCACATGGGAAATAGGCACGTGGCATCTTATTATAAATAGCTAAATTGTAATATTTATTTAAAAATGCTGTTGATCTGGTAAATACGGCACTGGTTAAAATCAGAATATTTAAAACTTTATATTGCCTGTTTCTTCCAGGCAGGAACCATTTAAAAGTAGCCCTCAACTTACACCTATTCTTTTAGTGACTGTCGGAGGTTACAGTGACACTGAAAAAAAAGTGATTTATCATTTTTCATATTTACAACTGTTGCAGCATTCCCATTATGATCAAACTTTGGATGCTTGGCAACTGGCATGTACTTGTGTTGGTTGCATTGGCCCAGGGTCGTGATGCCCTTTTGCGATCTTCTGATAAGCAGAATCAACGGGGAAACCAGATTCACTGAACAACTGTGTTACTAACTTAACCTCAGTGATCCACTTCACAACTGTGGCAGAAATGGGGTTATAAAATGGGGTGAAACTCACTTAACAATGTTCTTGCTTAGCAACATAAATTTTGGGCTTAACTGTGGTCATAAGTCAAGGACCTACCTATATGTACTATATTTTCCATAAAAAATAATACTTTGAATTGTACACATTCAATTACCTGACTTCAGTAACTCAGTTGCATTGATCCAAACGAATTACTTCACAGCGTATTATCCTTGCAACCAAAGAGGATGGCCTGCTGGGAATGTTTGTTGGAGGAATGGCCACCAATCATACTTTCCTTCTCCGGATTTCCCAATTCAATAGACGTTTCTCAATCTTGGATGCTTGAAGGGGTGTGGACTTCAACTCCCAGAATTCCCCAGTTCAATATTGAAGCCCACACATCACCAACCAGCCAAGGCTGAGAAACTCTGCGGTAGATAGGCATGGATTGAAGGACGATGGATGCTCACAGCATATGGGACCTATAAGAAAACTGGAGAGAGAGGCTACTTTGCAAGCCTTTCT